AAGACGCTTAATATCTAACATTCACCTAGCAGCAAATCAATATTTGCACCAAAATATGTTGCCACTTTCTCTCCTTCCGAAGATCTTTAAGAAGGATGCCAATGGTCACGCAAAAGATGTAGATGAGGAAGATGAATCTTCGCCAGAGGCCATTCTAGCATCATTTACAAACGGCAGAGTTCGTACTATCTCTGCATCATCGACAAAATCGTTGAAAGGAGAGGAAAAGCTTCGACAACAATTAATGGTACTTTCAGAACAAGAGGAATTGGTTCAAGGATATATTCAAGAGGCTACTAGGAAACGCAAGTTTGATGATGTAAAAACTTTAAGGGCTTCTTTAGATGAATTAAGAATGGAAATTGATAAGAAAAAAAAAGAGCTTGGTGAATTATTCTAGAGGATTATAAGGCATTGTATATATCCTATAAAAAAAATGAAAAAATATTGGAATTTTACGGATTCTATATTTAATGTTTATATAGTTATTATATATTATTGTTGTATTAATATTATATTTATGTTGCTGAAGGTCTTTGTTGGACGCAAACTAATGGCCGATACCATATGTTTAATTGGTTAATTTATTTATTGGACTGATTCGAGATTTGGTTTTCGAACTATGCAACCTAAGATCATTTCATTGTACATAAAATTAATTTAATTCCCCTGTCGCAAGATTATGATTATGATTTCGTTATGATTTCTTTAAGATTTTTAGTCATCAAAGCATTTATTTATTTTACGGTTTAAGAATTCACTCGATTTACGGATTCTCGGTTAGGTTTATGATTTTCATTTATTGCGCAATCATTAGATTTATAACTAAAGTTAACTACGACTAATAAGGAAACCTGATCACGTAAAGATATTTCGCACGCGTTGTTTAAATAATAAATTTAAAATTATTGTTATTTATTGATATTTAAATTTTATGTATTAGCATTTAATAATATATTCAATTTTAATACGATATCACAAAATGCGTATTGCTTAATTTCTTTTGCCTTGCATAACAAACGGTAAATTATTAAAAGAAATAATATTAAAGAATATGAACTGGTCCAGGGTTTTGTTTTTTTTGAATATCTCCATTGGGCGAAATGCATAAATCGTGCAATATAGAACTTCTTCATCTCCCTTAGGAATATTATTTTCTCGAACTAATATTATCGATAAACCTTGTAATTGCGATTTAATCGATTTTAAGAAAATTTTAGATTAATATACAAATCACCTATCCTTTATTCTAGCCAATTAACCAATTACTCGACAATGTAATTCTCCCTTTCAAATCATATTACCTTATCTCTTAATAAATATCGGAAATATTACGTTATCCACTTTCCCATCGTCGCCCGGGCTCAATCGGACAAGAGAAAACTTTATTATACAATGTAATGTTAAATCTTATAAAAGCTATAGATAGAACATCACACACTCAATAATGATATATGAGCTTGGTAGCAAGGAATGCGCATGTGAGAATTTGGCTAATCGTTCTCTACAGAACAAATACTTTACCTCGTGTATGCTAGATTATTAGGTTTTCTCGAATTTGGTCAAGTTTAGTGAAGCGGGTCTCCAACTAAATTTGATATTTGATTGATATATAAGGAAATTCGACAAATATAATATAATATCTCCCAGAATTCATGTACTTACTGTTTTTTCCTCGTAACTTTACACCAAGCACACGCTCCAACTTAGATAGAACTTGTTGATTAGGGATGGTACGACTCATTTCGTAATCATTAATCTTAACAGAAATAAATTAAACATTCGAATATGAAAGTCTATGACGAAAACCAAATGAAACAAAGGAGTGTACTTACAACATTAGCCTTTTCATTAATTCTTTGTCCAAGGTCCTTCTGCGTAAGACCCTTGGCTTGTCTAGCCTGTTGAATGGCCTTTCCGACCGACAAACTAAGTTTCTGCGGAGGTGCTACTTCATTTTCTCGATCTAGCTTAGCAATCTTTTGATGATCAGTGTTTGAACGAGCTTTGTTGGTGCCACCAGCACCTGCACACACAAAGTAATATAAATCATTATTAATTCTTGGTAGAAACAATTTAAAACAAAATCATATTACCGACTTATAAACCAATTATCTTACCAACTATCAATTATACCAATACAACAATAACAATTATCACTATCAACAATAACTCAAGAAATGACTGTCAAGAGGATGTGTTATTAACACTATTATATACTATGAGCTGTAGCATGGTTATTCTGAAAAGTATAATAATACTTCAGAAAAGTGAAACTATCAGAGTGACATTAGGTTTCATTTGTATTATAATTAGTTTTTTTGTTATTTTTTTTTTATCTAGTATTTTCTTATTTATTTATTTTTTACTTCTTATAATCTTTTTATACATAAATCTAAGTAGGTATTCATAACTGCTTGACATTATCTTTGACAATGCATTGGTTTTAATATTTCTTTTTCTTTGCAACTTAGATAGTTTACCATAGGCAAACTAGCATTAAACTCATTGATCAACTAGTCATGTGAGAGATGTTGTTACTTTCTTCATGTATAAATTTTTCAATTTTACAATTATAATAAAACAATGATGTTTATCTACTTTAAAAAAAAAAAAAAAAACTTATTGTTAAGATATTAAAAAACTTATTTATAATGTTTTATAGAATTTTATTAAATTATAACTAAATATATAATTCTGATTTTTTTGCTCCACACTGTATATTTGACATTAAGATTAAATAATTATAAGAAAATATATATATATATACTGTATATCTTTAAAGCTCTTGAATAACCCGAATTTAAACCTGATTAGAAACTTACAAAGCATAATAAAATAAACAAATTATTTTTGATGATTGTTATCTTGAAAAACGATGAAAATAAAATATTGAAAGTAAAGAATGTATAAAAGACTTTGGGAAGTTGAAAAATAAGAAAATAAAATATTGATTATTGTGATTGGATTGATAATTATTAAAAACACTATCGCTATACATTCTCCAATTTTATATTTGTAACGGAAAACTATGGAAAATCCATATACGTAGTTTGAATTGATTACGTAGTTTGTAATACATAAAAATCTATTGGTAAGGCACTCAGACGCAAATGTTTATTCCCTGACTTTAACACACGAAACTTCAAAATGAGCGAAACTGGTTGGGATGATGTTACCGTTATTCGCAAGCGAGCTGAGCACGCGAAAGTCACCAAAGGTGATTCAGCCATTAATGCTGCTCGTCGTGCAGGAGCTGTTGTTGGAGTAGAGCGCAAAAGTGAGTGTTACACTGATTATTGTTTTAAATTGTT